ACTTTTTGAGAGATACGGTACTCTTCGAAACTTTGCAAAATTTTCCTTTCCAAACTTGTTTCAAAATTTAATTGAAAAGAGAGAGGGAGAGAGAGAGAGAGAAAATATAGTTTCAAGCAATGTTAACGACGCTAACGTTTGAATTAAAATTTCGAGAGCGAAAAAGGAGTAAATTGTAAAATACGTAGCCTGGATGGCAGAAGCGTATTTATTATATTATATAATTGCACAGTGACGATTTTGGAGCAAAGATTAAATAATTGCAGGTTTCTTAATATTCTTAATTGACTCTTTTTTCGACGTATACCTTCCTGAACTCGTGAACATCGATCATTAAGCACGTCAACATTTTATCAACGTATATAAAGAAAATAAAGAAGAAATATCAGTTTTATTAATCTAGATTGCGTCGAAGGTAATAAATATCAAACAAAAAGTGAAACTCTAGACACTCTGGGTTAACGAAACTATTTTCTTTAACGTGAAAGTAAAAAAAAAAAAAAAAGAAAAAAAAAGAAAAGGAAAAAAGAAAATGGTTTTAACGATTGAATTAATCATACACAATGTTACAGTTCCTTGGCACGCTGTTGCATCAACATTATGAGAATAACTAAAACGTGATGAAAGCGATTATAGCCTTTTGCTCTTCAATTAAGGTTCGAAAGTATAGAAAGCAAGTATAGATTGCAGTCGTAATCGACGGATAATTGTTGGCGTAGGGACGATGGCGAGATATTAAAATATAATTAGAGAAATTTTACAAGCGTAAAATTAATCGGCTCACTTTCGAATCTCAACGATGACGGTTTGATACCCACAAGAAATACATCGTTAAAAAAAAAAAAAAGAAGAAGAAACACTCTCGAATTTCAATAATTTCTTTTATCATCTATCGTTCAATATCTTCTTAACGATCACGAAGATACACATATTTCCCAAAGAACGTCTAAATCAACCGAGCGGAAACTGACTTAACGAGTTTGACGGAACAAATTGTTGTTCCATTAAAAATCGTCGTACAACCGTTTACTAGATTCTGACTGATTCTTTCAATCGCACGGCCAATTACCACCAATATTACCAAATATTCCTTCAACCTTCGATATTTTACGCTCCTTCTATCCTGGCGATAAAAATTTCGTCACTTCACAAGTGAGAAAAGGGGTTTTTAAACAGTTGAAATTCATTATTAGTCAAATCGGTAAACATTGTATATACGCGTTTTAGCACGCGTAACGTGAACTCACGCTTTCGCAATCAACCGGGCAAACACACAAAAAAAAAAAAAAAAAAAGGAAAAAGAAAAGATTACCGCGTGTTACTCGAAGCAACAGCTCGAAACGTGAACGTAAGCGGTAGCACACTTTCACGCAACCGTGTTTCGCATTTTCCCATATTCGTGCAATTCAATCCTTTAACGAGATCTAACGAAGATCCGCATCTCTCCCTCTTCTTTTACGCCGCGAATTTTTTAAACGATTGTTAAAAATCGCGAATGAATTTTCGCGGAAGAGGAGAAATATATCGAAAGATATCGAAGGAGGGACGAAATAAACATCGAATTTAGCCAATCGTATATCGTTCGATAACGAGTGATGTCTTCCACCGCGTTACGTTCCACTCGGCTCTCCTCTCGCGGTTCGAATAAGCATAGCTGTACGACTGTCTGTGCGCGAACGTGTTGTTGACCTTAGTCGCGATCTACCGTCGATGCGCTCGATTGCTCGACTATCTATCTACGTGTAAACTATTGTTTCGTCAAGCGGAGGCTTGCCGCGTGAAAGTGATGCGAAAAGACAATTGGAATTAACTGGAATTGACGATAGGGAAGAAGATATTGGACGATGATAGATTTGAATATATATAAAGAAATATTAGGAAAAAATATTAGGAATTTTGAACAAGTGTTTCTAACCGCTGCTGAAAAATTGAGATTGAATTAAAATTTTGAACAAAATTTTAAGCGACACGAACGAAAATATTTATTGCTGTTTATAGTTCTAGTCGAGTGATTGTTCTCTCGATAAATTTATTCGTGTTAATTAAAATAGCGTTAATTACATTTGTTCGTTATATCTTTTTTTTCTTTCTATTCGCGTGAAATTAATAGAATAGAATAGAATCAAAGTGAGTTTCCCTTAACAAAGTGTTGATTCAAATACTTTCTAGATTTATTACCAGTGTTTTGTTTTCATTAAATCTGTCCAATTAGGGTCTAAGAAATTTAGACCCTTCGTACAAACGATTCTTAGATTCTTTTTTCTTCTTTTTTTTAATAAATCTAACGGGACTTGGCGAGTAACCTAGCAATTACATTTCGATCAAACTTTGCGAAATTGTTTGCGGGAACCATTCTAGATTCTTTTTCTTAATAAATCTGATACAACTTTCCGAATAATCTACCAATTAGATTTCGATCAAACTTGGTAAAACTGTTTACAGAAGCTTTTTTTCCCCCTTTTTCCTTTTTTTTTTTTTTTTTTCTTTTTTGCTCAACCTCGGGTGTGATTGCGTACTTTCAAGTTGTTTAATCTAAGTTGAAAAACTCCCCCCTTTCGCGAAAAATTTCAATCCGAAGATGAAATTTAATTGAAGTTTATTTCGCCACGCGTCGAATCATCCCCGCTCGATAACACAAATCCTTATTTATCCTAATTTTGATCTCTTTCTTTTTTTTTCCCCCCTCATCTTTTCAACTGTTCCACGAATCATCTCTCGGCGTTCAAAGCGATCATCTCTCTTTCTCTTTCTCTTTTCACGTACGTTCATTTTGTAACATTATTTCGCCAGAATACATTTATCTACACTCTCCTTCCATCCTCGTTCGCAATTTACCTTTCGAATTAATTTTCTTACCGATCTCTGAGAGCCTTTTGCAGCGAAAAATTTGAATACAATATTCGGAGGAAAGTTAACCGAACGAACGTTTGCCCGACCTTCTTTCTTTCCTCGTTTCCCATGCGCGCTGAATTTGCCCACTTCTTGTGCTCGACCCTAATCTCGTGTATCATCGAGGGCCAACGACATCACCGGATCGGAATCGTTGTCGAACGTTGTGTGACGTATAATTTACGTTTAATTTACGCAAAGAGGTGACTCGTGCTCGACATCCACGAATCGATATTAATCGTTTTACTCGGAAGGTGAAAGTTTCTATCTCTTCAATGAGATATCAATCGCGACAAGGAACTAAGATGGAAAGATGCTATTTCTTCTGATGAACGAATTTCATCGATTCATATTCTAACATAGTTGGAAGATAGAAACAAGTAAATGTGATTTTTATTGATATTCGTGGTTTCTATAATTGACAAAGAAAGAAAAATATAGTACACGCATTCGGAGGATTCGTTCGATCTGCGAAATAATAAAATCCGCACAATTTTTTGACACAAGTTTCTGTCCGTCGCGGAAAGGAAGTATTTCAATTAAATATACATAAAGTTGGGCGACACGGAAGAAAGATATTTTACATTTACGAAGATAAAGCGAACGAGGATGGATATATATTTACATAGATTGCATCTATACGTTACGATATTTTCGCGCGGGGTGGATAGATAAATTTGTAAAAAAAATAAAATGACTGAAATTCACGTGATGTATATTTTTTTATAAAATTGGAACGTTTTACGGATTTTATTTTTAGCTCGTCGAACGAACGTTTCGACGCTGAGAAAAGAAGGATCGCGAACGCGACTCAAAATCGACGCTGAAAATGCGACGAGAATGATTCCAATGATTGAAAGAAGATGCCGATTAGAGATACGCGAGAGTGTACGAATGAGATACTCGTATACTCTTCTTCGAACGTACTCGGTGCACTCCTTCTCGATGCACTTGGGAGAAAGTGCGGTATATTATGTTAACCTTGCATCTCGGTCATCGTTCCACTTAAGACTTTTCCAAGAATGGTTTCTCGATGACATTTACTGCTTCAAACTTGTGCACCGCTTCTTGTTCTCCTTCCCCTATCTAATATCTTTTATGGAAAACAAACTGGTTGTTGGGTGGAGAATAGTAGAAAAAGAAAAAAAAAAAAAAAAGAAAAAAAGAGAACGCTAAAATCGCTCCCAGTTATTTTTGCCCGGAATTTCGGAATAATAAAAAATTTTCTGTTCGACGTTCGACGGGAAAAGATATCTTTTGCAATTTTTCATTATCCGCTCGTCAAAAATTGCGACACTCTCGACGGTTACAACGCTTGTACTCGTAGCGACATCCAGATCGATTAATCTACTTTCGAATATTAACGTCGCTAAAAATATTTTCGCAGCAACGTCGACTCTTCGTTACTCTTCGACGAAACGAAGTTCGTTTAACGTGTTTAAAATGGATCAAAGAATTGCATTTTTTTCTTTTTTCTTTTTTTTTTTTTTTTCCCCTGTAAGAGGCGATTTATGTGTTAATGGAACGACGCTTAATAACACGGTGATTTTAGTTGGGAACAATCGGGGATTAAAGAGAAAATGTAATTTCTTTTAGCATCGCGCCATCTTTGTAATTAACGAAGTTATCACGGGCGCGCGCAGTTTAATAGTTGGAGGGAGTAAATGCAGGTTCACATAATACTCGCATACATACGTCGGGATGAGTGGCTCGCCTTGCGCCAACCGAGGTTGTAAACTAGCTTAAAGTCTCTCACGGCCTTCAATTCCGAACCCTAGACAATGTGTGTTGGCACGAGTAAAACGTGTACCACGATACCGGGGAAGCAACACTTATGTTTCCAACCAACTAATTAGAAAAGGAGAAGGGGCTAGTCACGATTAGAACTCTCGAAACTCTAGAAATTCCTCCAACTTTCTATTCGCTTTTAAAGAAAGATTTTTTTAATAAAATTGCAAGGACAAATATATATATATATATATATATATATATATATTTATATACTACGTGCTCAACTACGGTCGTAATTTAGTAATTTAAGAAAAGAAAATAAAAAAAATAAAAGTAAATCAACGAATACAAATTGAATGAAGGATTGGTTTTCATTCCAGACGACAATTTCTCTGCTCTGCGTCCTGTTGTTGATCGGACGCGAAGCTCGCGCGGTGGTTAACAAAGCGCAATCCCAGACGGTGGCCAACAACGAGGAAGAGAAGCGGAACGAGATCAAGGCCGACGACAGGATAAGCAACTCGTACGGCCCACCTTCGGACGATTACGGGCCCCCTCTCGGCTCGAGCGCGAAAGGGCCCGCGCCGGTCTACGGCCCCCCGGAGCTGGTAGGCGATCACGGGCCAACGCCCGTATATCCACCGCCGCCACCGGACGTTCCTCCGCCTCCTGCGTACGGGCCGCCATTGTCCTCGTACGGGCCACCGCGAAACGTCAAACCGCCGAAACAAACTTTCGGCCCCCCTCTCTCCCCCTTGCCCGCCAAGCTGGCCTTCGCCACGCTCAAACTTCACCACCACGGCCCACCCAAGCAGCAGTACGGCCCACCCTACTCCTCCTTCCCTCCTTCCTTCAGGCCCCCGAAACCCCACTACGGCCCACCCTTCAAATTCGCCACCTCCCTTTCCAATACCCACTACGTGTCCGCGGGATCGAAACCGTCTCACGGGCCCGCCATCCCTCTGTCGTTCGACACGTACGAGGTACTACCCCAAAAAGTGGCGGTCCAGTTCGTCCCCCACGATCACGGACCTCCGCCGCTCGCCGCCGCCGATCTCTACGGACCGCCTCCACCACCCGTCGTCGTCCCGCCACCCGGAGTCCCGGCACCGCCGACACCCCCCGACATCAAGTACGACGGTTGGCAACCGATCGCGGGCTCGTCGGACCATCGACAGGCAGGGAACGGCGTACAGGCGTACGGAGCACCGACCATCGACGAGCACAAGGGTTTGGAGGGGCACGCGCACGTTCAACAGTCGACGAGCAACGGGATCGAGAATAATCCGCAGAACGTGCCCAGCGATTCTTACGGAGTGCCGATCCACAGCCCGGAGGCGCAAGACTTGAAGAGCTCGGTCAAGTCCGGGTCGAGCAGCAACAAAGGTTTGCCACCGCCGCCGTTGCCCGAGTACGAGCCGTTCCACAACGAGAGACCGCCTCACGAGGATCGTCGTACGGGCGGCGTTCAACAAGATCGGGTCAACTTGCGCTACGAAGCGGTCGCCAACGCGGACCCCCTCTCCGTCGCGAAGACCGTTGGCTTCGAATTGCTGCCCACCGTCCCGTCGCTCGACCCCCTCGCCGGCCCGGCCCCGTTCCCCGTTTTAAAACTCCCGCTCCTCGATCCCACCGCACCGGGGGCCGACGCCCCCCGCTCCTTCCACAATCCGGCCAACGATTTGCCCCAGCTGTCGGTCAACGCATTGTCCAATAACTACGGCCCCCCACCACCCCTCTCGCTCCCCTCACACCAAGCCCCCTTCAAGTTGAACTCCATCGAGTCTGGAATACCTTTGCCACCGCCCCCCTTCGACTCGTACGGTTCGCCGCCACTCTCCTCGTATTCGCCCAACGGCCCTTACCCCTCGCCCGCCGCCGAGCCGGGCCGAGCGTCGTCCCCCTTCTCCTCCTTCGGCCTCCACTCAACCACCCTCTACAAGCAGAGCTTGCACCACCACCGACCCCCTCCTCCCAGGCACCCCCTGTCCCCCCCGGCCTCTCTCATTCCGCCCAGGAACCGGGAACCCGTCAAGTTCAAGGAATTTCCACCGATCCCGACCGGATTGCTGACTAACCTGAACCGATATTTCCCGCCGCCGCCGCCGCCGCCGAGACACGCGGCGGAACAGGTCAAATCTCCCAACGCGGCGCACCTCCCCCCGCCCGCCCTGTCGTCCACGGCGTTCGTCGAGCAGCAACAGCTGCCCTCCCTCCACGCCCCGCTCGCCTTCAACAAAGCCCTGCCCCCCGCCCTCCACGACCCGCCGATAGCCGCCCCCAACGCCCGATACGGGACGCCCTTGTCCTTCGGCGGCTTCAACACCCCGGCGCCCGTGTTGACTTACGGGGCGCCCAACTTCGGCCCCGCGTCCTCCTTCGTCTCCACCTCGACCGGATTCGGCAACAATTTGTACGACAGCCTGGGGAACGGGGCGACGGCCACCTACGGCACCCCGGTGGTGAATCCGCCGTTGTCGACGGCCGGTGGCCACGATTGCGGTTTCCACCGGTACACCGGCCTCGAGGACGGTGGAGCGACGACGAGCACGACGGCGGCGTTCAACGAGGCCGCGGCAGCGGCCGCCGCCGTCTTCGCCTCGCCGACCGCGCTCGACCCGGCGCCCCCCATCGGCCAGCTCGCCCTTCGCGATTACCACCAGCCCAGGGCCAATCTGAGGGACAGTTACGGGGCCTCGATAGGCGTGAGCTACGCGGCGGACAACGCGTTGTCGAGCAGCCACTCGGTCGAGCTGGCCGACTCGCTTCTCTCGCCACCCTCGCCCACCCCCTCCACCACCCACGAGGGCGAGGGGAATCGCGGGGCAGGGGCGAGGGAGGAGGCGAGGAACGAGGTGGACCAGTTCCTCAACACCCAGGAGGGGAGCGAGGCCCTCTCCCTGGCGGCCAAGGGTCTGGCCATCAACGGGGGGGACGGCTTCGAGGTTCAGGGCTCGAAGGGGACGTACACGTTGCAGATACAAGCCGCGGACGGGGGATTCGGGACCGAGAACTCGGACGGGAGCGTGAGGCACGATCAGGTGCTGTCCAACGGCCTCCTCCAGGACATCCTCGCGGCTATCGAGCAGCCAGAGCAGGGGCAAGTGCTGAGGGTGCAGGGTCGGCCGGAGGCGCAGCGATTGCAACGCGTGTACGGCGACGGTGCGGCGGAAACGCGGGCGGATCCGATCGGGATCGGGACCAAGGATGGGGGCGAGAGGAAAGACTCGAAGCTCGAAGTGGGGACTCGAGGCGACGGGAGGGACGGGCCGATCGAATCGAGCGAGGCCGTCGCTCTTTTCTTCGACAATCGGTACGGCGACGCGGCGAGGAAGGAGATAAGGTCGGTGGCGAGAGGCGAGAAAGTCGCGTCGTCTCTCCACCACGATCGAAACGCCCCCGACGAAACCAAGTCTTCCTAAATCTTCGACGTTCGTCCACGTCGAATTATCTTAGTAAGTTCGTTGCTAATTTAATTTAATTACGCGCTCGATTCGACCGAGTTGGAGATTCGTATCGCTACGGGGGAGAGTAATCGCGACTCGAACGGAGCTCGTTCGAATTTCAACCATTTCAATTTTAACGAAATATTTAATACGCTCGTGGGTGAAACAGAAAGACGAATTAGAAGAATCTTCGGACGAGAACGTTTGCCTGGTATCTCCTTCCCTCTGTATTTCTCTTCGCGCGGGACAAAAGGAAGAAGCAGATCTTATCCTTCGAGTTTAATCGCGACGCAAGACGAAGATCAAGAAAAGTCCTCGAGCGTTTCGATTCGTTCTACAGCCCCTTTCCGCTCGAAATCGCTCTTCTCGCGCGAATTAAAGCAGTATCGGGTGATTTCGTGGCCGATCGTCACGAATGAAGTCTCCCATTGAATTCACCTACGACCGACGCGTTTCTCAACAACGTTTCGTTTTCTCGACCGCGAATTGTTCGGCCGTTCGAGAGAAACGAAGAAAAAAAGAAAAAGAAAAAGAAAAAAGACCGAGGAGGGCCGAGCAACTTTCATCGTCGAGGGGAGCGCGCGCTTCTTCTTTAACCTTCGCCGAGGTGAAAGTTCAGAGAGGCTGGTCGAACCGCTTCGCGATAACGTTGCCTGCCCTTTCGCGGGGATCCCGTTTCGCGAGTGAAACGCGCACACTCCGCTCCGCTCTGCGGCCGATACACACAGGTTTTGCATACCTTTGCGACCACGACAGGGAGATACGCGTATATCTAGTCCGTTGTTTCACGATGAGACACGCCGGGGGATGATGAGCTTTTTCCTTTCCTTTCCTTTTCTAGACGCCTCGAGGCCGGTGGCGACCGGCGAGTAAAAGTAAGAGACATCGTTACTCGGCTTACTCGGTGTTATATGAGATATTTTTAGCGATAACCGTATCGTTAATCGTAGTAGGCTCGCGTTAATTCTTAGCTAGATTTTGATAGAAGTACAGTTTCACTTACGCTCTTAAGTAGAACTTTTCACCTTAGAATTCCTTTTTTAGTGGCGACCGCCTCGAAATAGCCTCGTTTGTAGTATAGAGCATTGGAAAGTGTTTTCGTTCCTCTTTCGCATGAAAATAATAGTATGAGATATATTTATATTCCATCGACTGGTTTAATTTAAATTGATTAAAATACGAAAAGACTTTCCAATCTTAAAACGGAGAATTGCATATGATATCCAAAGATACGCGGAGAGTAAAATCCAGCCGACGTTGGTAAGCAACGCACAAGCACGCAGAAATGCACTGTAATAATTGGTCTATATATATATATATAGATAATAAAACGTTGACGCGTTCGCATGTGCGCTCATCGACGCGAGTTTAAAACCCGGCTGCGTATACGTAGGTATTCCGTATTTCGAAGTAATCTTGAACTCCTCTTCCACTTTTATAGCGCTAGCCTGGCAAATGGTTATGCATAACTTGGTGTATTGCAGATACGTAAAATAAGTAGAGCGTATATAAGCTTAAGAGAGATGCTCATTGTTAAGAAATACGCAGTGACGATGCTGCCAAGCCATAAAACACGTCAACTCGCCCCCCTCTCCCCTAACTCCTCTATCCATCCTCTTCCTCTTCTTTCTTCTTCCTTCTCTCCTTCCTTCCTCCCTTCTTCTTTCTCCTCCTCTTTTCTTTTTTTTTTAAATGGATTAATTTATTATTTTACTTGTACGTCTCGTGCATATGGTAACGAGCGATCGATGTTATTATATTGATTAAGCATAATGCGTGTACGACTGCACTCCTTTTTATATGTTTGCGTTAAGTAATGTAAATATACGATCTACTATTTGTAAACAGACGCTCTATTTTATTCATCTTCCCTATTTTTGAAAAAACTATTCTTAGTCAATTTTACGATTTCTTTCTCTCGACGAGCGAATATGCGAACTTAATTACGAAAAATAGAAGCAAGGCAACGATCATTTTCATCTCTGTCCTCCGCTCTCCAGGAACGAAACGATTGGAAAAACCGCAACACCGTCGTTTATTATTAGCGAACTAAAAAAAAAAAAAAAAAGAAGAAGAAGAAAACTAACGAAGGAAGCTTTAAAAGAGGGAGAAAAAAAACCGCAATTGTCTAAAAGTTAAAACTCGAGTGCCACTTTATGCACGGACACCCGATAGAATTTCCAAGCATCCTCCGTTTATCTCGATCGCCGCTGTTTTCCCTTCACGTTGCTCATTCCACTCGATGTAATCCTGACTTTCAGCGGCCGAGATTCACCTTTCGGATCCGTTCCACGGTAACTGCCTCGAACAAGGCGAGGAAGAAGTTTGATACCGAGATTCATTCGAGTCGATCGTCTTCGTTGATTTATTTATGATATTATTTAATAATAAATAAAATTCACTCGCTCTCGTTTATTAAAATTTGATTACTCGAGATAATAATTATTCATATATATATATTCCGTTGTTGTAGAAAAGTTTCGACGAGATGCAAAAAGAAAAATTCTGTTACTAATTGCAAGTAGGATATGTAAATGAAATGCTATCTTATAAAACAGTGTTCCAGAGTTGGTCGAAATCGTTTCGTATTCTTTTATTAGATCGTACCATACGAAATTGTCGTTTTTGTTGCTCGGAAAAGAAACAATATATTTTCGAAACTATAATCTTTATTCGAAATACCAGCCATTGGCTTTAATGATCTTTTCTCAACGAGATTCCAAACGACATTTTTACAAAACTTTACGGTGAAGAAATTCTTCGAGCTCTTTCAGCGATTACATCTTTTCGAGCATCGAATATTTTATTTTTCAAAAATCACTAAATGACGAAACGAGTAATAATCCGATTGATGAATATGATGGTTTGTGATGAACGTTGTGATTGCAGAAGATCGATTAATGCTGGTTGTTTCTCAATCAATTTCTTGGCTGCTATTATTGCATCTACTCGTTTCAGAAAAGAATAATGAATTATTCCCTTTACAGATCACTCTTTACAGTCATCATAACTTTTTTTCGGTAACGATGGTTTTGACATTCGTTTGGAATTTTCATTGGCACTCAATCATTGTCCAGATCGGGTACGATTATCGTTCTATACAAAAAATGGACTTGCAAACTTTTCATCTTCCTTCTCCAATTTTTTCACTTTACCCATTGCAATGTCTGAAAACTGTCATTCTAACTCTTCCACTTTAACTTTCAATTTATCTTCGTTTAACATGGATTTCGATCTCGGGGCTCGTTTTCAAGATTCTCGTTCTCAGATCTGAATTTTTGAAACGAACGATATGATAACAGGAATAATATTCTAAATTCGTTCGTACACCGTATCGTTCATTTTTCAAAAAAAAAAAAAAAAAAAAAAGAATTTACCACGCGAAGGAGATATCATAAGGGGACAACTTTAAAATATGGTAAGCGAAATATAGGTTGAGCAGAGTTTACAAGTGGCAGTTGATTGTCGTTTATTCTAAAATTGGCAACCGTTTCTTCCTCTCCGATTCTTCGCATAGTTCTCCTCCTCCATTATTCCTTCTCGTGGCGAGACAATGCGATCGCGAGTCTTCCCTCGCCCGAAACTGAAACTCGAATCACAAGAACATATAATCCACGTTTTCGATTATATAAAAGATTGTTATTTCGAAATTTTTCACAGACGTGTTAATTGTTCCCTCGTCTCGATACTTCCAGCGACAACACACTTTCTCACACAAGCGTTGCATAAACAACGCCTGAATCTCTTACGTCTCTCTTATTCCTTCCTCCTTCCGATTCTTGCCAAAACGCGACAAATTTCGCTCGTTGCAAAATTCCCGAATCATCTCGAAGAATCCCTCGATCTCATTTGCAAGGTAAATCCATTCCGACGAATTACGATTGGGCACGGGTCTTAATCTGTCCGCATTACCATCTCTCTTTCCCTCCCAATACCCCTCCTCCCCCCTTTCCTGTCGCTTCGTTACGCAACAGGATGCATCCAGGAAGCTGAAGAATTCCTCCAACCACCCCTCCCTAAACACGCGATCACGAAAGACACGCGGAATTTTCGCGAAACGTGCAAACGAACGAACGAACGAATCCTCCACCTCCATCTACACCTCCGTCAACACCAACGCGAAACGGTGCAACAAGAAGGATGGAAATGGAGGAAAATACTGTCAACGACGCGCGACATTCTACGAGGGCGAAGGTCGAATTTCGTTAGCCCTCGACGACTTCCTTCTCGCGCTCTACCTTTAATCGAGAGAGTCGGAGGAGAGGGGATGGGAAGGGGAGGGTATCAGCGGGTTGCTGGCGGAAAGGTTGGTTGACGAGAAGGGATCGGCGAGAAGATCTCGAAGGAGGGTTTTCACGGGTAGCCGGGGGGAACGTATGCATTTCTCGCGGAGCTCAGAAGTGCTTTATTTCCATAGCGGGTCGGTATCTGTACACACCGACAGTCATACTGATCTCGAGAGGTACGTCGGCTGCCTCCCGGGTGCTATATACGGGAATATAAGAGAGAGAGAGAGAGAAGGGAGAGAGAGTGTCTCGGGCGTATCGTTGGTCGGTATGCTTAGCGCAGCCTGTTCGCCCGAGGCAAAATTGTCTTTCTTTCGGTACGGCGAATAGTCGCTAAAAGTAAAAATCTAAGAAAATAAAATAGCCCCACGGGATCCCTCCCAGAACTGTTTCGACGATTTTCCGTATCTCTCTGTCTCGTGCATTCGTCGTATTCGTATATTCGTATATTCGAGTCGCGCATATCGTGAAATTAAGTGAATTTTGTTACGTCTCCGCGTTACGATAAAAAAAAAAGGCAACAGAGGAAAATTAGAATTTGGGAAAGTCGAATGTCATTCAGAACGTAGAGGAAACCGTGCCATTGAATTTCCTTTTTGATTCATCCCGATATCTCAACCGGTTCTCGAGATATAAGGATTCGAAGCGTTCGTATATTTAAAGACTTAGGTGTATAAGAATTACACGAATAGACTCGTGATCTTTTTCTAGAAGTGCGTACTATTTCTAAGAATCGCGTTTGTCGCTCGTCTGGAGTTTGGAATGGCTCAGCGAAACGAGGTGCGAGAGAGAGATCCGAGTAAACGACGAGGATGAAAGTAATAGACGATCAAAAAATTACGCTTTTCTTTACACGACGATATTTCGGGAACCGGAAATCATATCGGGATAAATCGAAAGGGGTTTCAAAGAGCGAGATCTCGCGCCTCTAACGATCTTTCGTTCGTTGACCGGAAGTCATTATCTTCGGAGTTATAGCGATTCAAAGTTTTCCTAATTTTAATACGATTAACCGGATCTAGAGTGAATTATTAAAAATTATTCTTCTCTTTACATGATGATATCTCGGGAACCGGAAGTCGTATCGGGATAAATCGAAAAGGGTTTCAAAGTACGAGGTTTCGCGCCTCTAACGATCTTTCGTTCGTTGACCGGAAGTCATTATCTCCGGAGTTATAGCGATTCAAAGTTTTCCTAATTTTAATAGGATTAACCGGGTCTAAAGTGAATTATTAAAAATTATTCTTCTCTTTACATGACGATATCTCAGGAACCGGAAGTCGTATCGGGATAAATCGAAAGGGGTTTCAAAGTACGAGGTTTCGCGCCTCTAACGATCTTTCGTTCGTTGACCGGAAGTCATTATCTCCGGAGTTATAGCGATTCAAAGTTTTCCTAATTTTAATAGGATTAACCGGATTTAAAGTGAATTATTAAAAATTATTCTTCTCTTTACGAGTAGATATCTCGGGAAGTCGTATCGGAATAAATAGAAAAGCGTTACAAAGGTTTCGCGCTTCTAACGATCTTTCGTTCGTTGACCGGAAGTCATTGTTTTCGAAGTTATAACGGTTCAAAGTTTTTTTTTAATTTCAATGAGATTTAATCGAGTTTTAATTTTTTCTCGCTGTTCAAAAAGTTTTCGTTTCAATTCTGAAATTAGACGTTCTCTTCTATTATTCTTCGACATTATTCTTTGGTGGTATTAGCGATTCGGTCGTTTCTTTCGTATCGAAAAAGACAATAGTTCAGTCACCCGGAATAGAATCGGTCTGAATATTTCATTTTAGTGCAGAAGAAAGTCTTCCCATAGGATCACGCGCGCGTCTGTGACGTCTTTTAAGACACTTTGAACGTTTCGTCCATGAAACTCCTTTTATCTCGACTTCTCGTTCGTGAGTGATTCGTTTCTATTACCTTTACAGACGGTAGCATGAAAGGGGCTATTTAATAGTAACGGAATGTCTGATAATGAACCGTTTGTACTCCGTATGTTGAAAGAACTGTTATCTTCTTATACTATACACGTCCTAACGTAAGTATATACGCATGATGTTCCAAAAGCACGATCGAAAACACGACGATGTTCGATCGATAATAAATAATAAATAATAAAATACTAAAATTTTATTTTCCTTCATTTTTATATCCCTTATTATCCCTTATTTCGCGTTGAATTTTAAAGTTTCAAAAGAGACTTTTGAACTTTTGGGATGAAAGTTAAACGTACTATTGTATCACTGGGAGGAGAATGCAGCTCGTTCCAACGGTAAGTGGAGAAAGGTAAAGGAAGAACGTTTACTGAAAACAGAATACTTGACCTTTCTCAAGAAAATTTTTCAAAAGGAGAACGATGCGCGTAATTCTCTTATTTCGTAGTCGTCCACACGTGCATAACGAGAAACGATGCATTATTTCTAAACGTAATCGCGTGACGCGACGCGCATTATGCGTCAATTTGCATATGACTGTTATGCGCAACGCGTGATTTAGATAG